AAGAGAACTCATGCTATTCTTCACTACAACGGGACAAACCACTTGATCAAAAAGGAAGTTCCCTGTGAGACTGACCAACTAACTCATGTTTACACATTTATTCTCCGTCCAGACGCCACCTTTAGCATTCTTATTGATAACGTTGAGAAACGAAAAGGTAGCTTGTACACGGAGTGGGAACTTCTCCCACCAAAGAGAATCAAGGATCCCAATGCCAAGAAGGTAATTAGTCACAAATATTATCTTTTTTGTTTTGTTTTGTTTTGTTGTATGAATGTCGGATACAATTGCATGATGGCAGCCTGAAGATTGGGATGACAGGCAATACATCGCTGATCCTGAAGACAAGAAGCCAGAGGTAAAAACCTTCTCATTTAACCCTTCCTTTGATTTTCTTATGCTACATATATAAGCAAGCTAATCTCTAGTGTTTGATTTACCATAGGGCTACGATGGCATTCCAAAAGAGATAACTGATCCTGATGCCAAGAAGGTAGTCATATAATTCTTTTTTAATGTCATTATAAAATGGCCTTGATTGTAATGAGAGTTAATGGTTAAAATTATTTACACCAGCCTGAAGATTGGGATGATGAAGAAGATGGTGAATGGACAGCCCCAACGATTCCCAACCCAGAGTACAAGGGTTCATGGAAGCCAAAGGTTTGTGAAATCCTTGTCTAATTTGCAGCATTTATTATGACTTTATGTAACAATTCTTTCACTTTCTGCAGAAAATCAAGAACCCCAACTACCAGGGCAAGTGGAAGGCACCAAAGATCGATAACCCAGGTTCATTTTTATTTCTTTGGTAGTGTGTTACTTCTTTTTCTTATGAACAACATAATTTTGAGGTGATTCATCACTGTGTTTTTATATGGTCCACAGATTTCAAGGACGATCCTGACCTCTATGTTTATCCCAACTTGAAGCACGTTGGTATCGAATTGTGGCAGGTATTCTTTTGCCACTTTTTCCTCTACTACCACCCTATCATCATCCCATGCCCATTTTAGACCGTAACAAGATAAATTTTTGTTTTGTCAGGTGAAATCTGGAACACTGTTTGACAATATCTTACTTGCTGACGATGTAGAGTATGCTAAAAAGCTAGCCGAAGAAACATGGGGCAAGCACAAGGCTGTATGTTCATCTATGTATTTTGAAGTGTTCATTTTCACTTTTAAATTCTTTTGTCTGTTGATTTGGTTGGCTTTTGCAGGCCGAGAAGGCTGCATTTGAGGAGACAGAGAAAAAGGACGACCCTGTAGTTTCAGATGTAAGCTTTATAACATGCCGTCTTAAAGATATAATTTCTTTGTTTGCTCGATAATTGTTTTCATTGTGTTATCGGATTGTCCAGGCCGAAGACAACGACGATGATAGCGATAGTGTTGGAAGCGAGTCCGATTCCGAAAGCAAATCAGACACAAGCAAAGACAGTAGTGAGAAAGAGAAGGATGCGCATGTAAGAAGTTGTTTTCCTTTCGGTCTTTAGCAATCAATTTTGATAATCTATATGTGCCTAATTGATCAAACTATTGTCCCTTTGCATGCAGGATGAGCTTTAAGACGAATATCAGTGCAGTTCCTTGCCCTCGATTTCGCATTAGAATTAGAGGCTGCATTGGATTGCTGCCTTATAATCTGGTTTTTAACTTTTGCCAGTCTTTTTTTTTTTAGTTTTATTTACGGTTAGATGTATTCGGTTTGAACAATTCAAGCTCATCTAAGGATGTATATCATATCTATTTAAATAATTTTGAGTTAAAACTAGAACTGGGTATATGGGTTAAGGCCCGCGGGCTACCTGTTTAACACGTGACCTGCGCGGGTTTCGGGCCTAGAAAATTTAAGATTGTTTAAATTGTGGGCTTTTTAGTCCGGACCGTTAAACCCACGGGTTTAATGGGTATAACCGCGGGCTACCCACGAAACCCGTTAAAGCCCGCTTAATTTAAAATTCATAAAATTTTAGAGAAAATAAACTTAAAGAATTTTATAGAAAAAGAAAATAAATTACCTATAAATATGATGTTACTTATAACTATTGTAGTTCTTAAATTTATTAGGATGTTTGTCATAATTTTACCGTTGCTTGATATTTTTTTCATTTAAATATACATCATTATCATTTTGGTATTTAAAGATTTTTTTTATTTAATTTTGATCTTTATTTTTTTTCATGAAGTATGTTATCCATTTTGTTCTTTAATTATAAAAAATCACGTGATATTCTAATAATATATCACATGATACGTAATATTTAGATTAAAAATAAGAAAAAAAAAGTTAAAGAAGAAATAGAAAACATATTTTTCAACTTTTAAAGACTTTTACAAAATAAATATATTTTAACAAATTAATGACTTATATTTTTATCAATTTTAGAATAATTGTATCTTTCAAATTTACTCTTATACCGTAAGTATTTTATTTTATATTTTCATATTATGTTTTAGTCTTTCTTTAAAGTATTCATAAAATACAATTATTAGGATCACTTGACAACTTTCTTGTTAGATTTGTATAATGTTTGGCTTTGTTGAATTTTTATGTTTGAATTTATGCTTTCAGACACTTATGTGTCTTCATATTACAGCCTTGAATAATCGTGTTTTATAAAAATATAATGTGGTTATTGTTTTATTTGTTTTTTAATTTGGTGATATAAATGAATATTGTTTTCTCAATTTGATTTTAAGTAATTATATCATTATATATGTATATATATATTAATGATTAAAAAAATTAAAAAATATTGTTTTATAATCATTTTATGCTATTTAAAATAAAATTTAAATATTATTTATTATTTTAACGGTGCTACCTTCATTTTCAAGTTGCTCAATCATTTTTAAAGGTGTAGTAAGTTAAAACATTATTTTTTTATTACATTTAAAGTATTTAAAATTATTTTTATTTAACGGGCCATGGGTAAACCCGTTTAGCCTGCGGGTTAAATGGACGGACCACGGACCTTAAAATATAAAATTATTTATGAATACGGACTTTTTAGCCCGCTCCATTTAAGCTCACACCGTTAAAATCCACAGGCTAAACGGAACCTCTAGTTAAAACCCGTCAATCAATTGTCCAACAATATTTCGAGACGCGTAACTTTAAATATATATATAAAACAAAATTTTTACTTGGTTGGAAATAAAAAATTTTCGTTGTACTTGTACAAAATAATTATGTTTTTCAGGTTTCATTTGAATTTTTAAAATCCAATATTCAAAAAGTACTATTATAATTATTTATAAATATATTAAGTATAATAATAGTTTTTATTCTAAACTCGGATCTGATTTGACTCAAGCCATTTTGAAAAACTTGACTCCAGCTACCCTAAAAAAACTTGGCTCAAATCCAAAATTTTAAAATAAAAAATTACATAATCAAATTAGATCGAATTGAAATTCATTGGATCCGAGAAAAATGTCCATTTCTAAAAATAACACACCATTAGTATGAATAAATTTATAATCTACGTATTGTTTTCGGATGGAGCCAGGATCAAATATAAGGAGGGACAATGCGATATGAATTAAGGGACAAAGAATGCCATCTAAATTGTGGGTCTTTCTTGAATTTTCTCCTAAAGGGACAAAGAACATGGGGAGTAGGGATGGATTAAGAGAAAGAGGTGGAGATAGTTGTCCTACGTAAATTTAAAATTATCATATATTTTAATTTTTTATTAGATATTTGTTTTCGTCCTCTGAAATTTTAAAAGTTTATCTCGTAATATAAAATTCTATGTACGTCCGTTTTGAAAAGTTCCTTTATAACACCTTTAATTGTGAAGGAAGCTATTTTGATTAGGATCTTATCATTCTTGCATTCTGTGATTGCAAGTGCAACATATTTTATTTGATTTATGTTCTGTTGGTGTCATGTTCTGGAGGAGAGCATGAATACAGAATTTGTTTGTAGGTGAATGCAATTATTTACTTAATAGACTCATATGACAAGGAGATATTTCCCGAGTCGTAGAGAGAGTTGGATGCTTTCCTCTCTGATAAAGCCTTGACTAACATCCCATTTCTCATCTAGCAACAAGGTTGATGTCCCATGTGCTGTCTCAGAGGATGAGATCTGCTACCTCCTGGGGCTCACCGACTTCATCACAGGAGAAGGTAAGGTCAATTTGGGAGACTTGAATGTTCGACCCGTGTTAATGTGTAGCACTGTTCAAAAAATAGGCTACAAAGGTGATTTCAGGTGGTTTTCTCGGTACATTACATAGGTAGAGGTACAACAAATTTAGCTTGCATTGTTTAACACCAATATATAACGTTAAATATGATTTAAAAAAATAGTTAGTTGTTCAAAACTTAACCATGATAATAAATGAGTTATTAAATAAGTGGTTTATCCTATAAACAAAAATCTTAATTTATCTTATGTGAATTTTTTTTCTTTTTTAAAAGACTTATAAGCTACTTAAATATCAATATATACAAGAATTAATTCAATGCATGTGATTTTAAAACTTAATTTTTTTCCTTTAATTTTTTAATTCTATCAAATAATGAATAAAAAAATTACATTTTTATTCAAATTTTCTATCCAAATTTTTTTTTTAACTTTTCATCTTTTTGACCTTTTTAATTTCTATCATTTCACTTCCTCGTCTCCCCCGGAATCCTTGATACCAAGCCAGGCCAACATGGGAATAATAAAAGTTTATCTATAAAAGAATATTAAATAAAACATCGTGATTCAAGTTGAGTGGGGATGTAGCTCAGATGGTAGAGCGCTCGCTTAGCATGCGAGAGGTACGGGGATCGATACCCCGCATCTCCACATATGCTTTTATGGACTTTCTATTGCTCTCATCGAACTGTATATGTTCAGCCTCTCTAGACACTGCATTAATTGAGTCTTATAATTGCGGATGGCAAACTGAGATCCAAGAAATATAGTAAATTTTTATTTATCAAACTTTTGGCAAACGGCAAAGACAATCAAATTACAGCTGTGGCTTACAATTCAAGGCATAGGAAAAGAAGGCGTTGTGATGAACACAGACTACTCTTCAAACTTTACGGTAACCCCATCGAGGAATAATGCAGCTAAAGCCTTTAGGAAGCCTGGGACTAAAGTTCTCATCCCTTCCATGTGCTGCTGCTGCTGATGATGATGGCCGCCATGCCTCGGCTCTTCTCCCCGTCTTGTGAATGGCCTTCACCACCGCTTTGCAATCCACATATCCCAACACTGTGATCTTATTTGATACCCTGTCTATTTCCACGCATTTTACTCCTACATAAATAAAACCACCAAAAGCAAACCCTTTTAAGTCATTTTTTATCCTGATTTTTCTTTCAACTCTACTTGTATTTCTGTTCAGCCATCTATCTATATATAGAAAAGGAGTTCATGGATACCATTGATGTTGAGCAAGGATTTCCTGACAGCTTTCTCGCAAGCTTTGCAGTGTAAACGTACCTTGAATTCAACCACCTGCAACATCAAAAACCAGATTAGCTACTTGCACAAATAAGAAGAGAACTTTGGGGAAGTTAAGAGAGGAAAGGGGAAAAAAACCTCCATGGTGTTTATCATTCTTTACACAAGGCTCAGCTGGAACACATATATAATGTTCTTTTTTTAGAATAAAAAAGGAAGGGCTGGCCATGGCAGGCTTGCCAAATCATATGATGGCTCACTTGCTTTCATCATGGATAAGTATTGCACAAGTAAACATGTTTTTTAGAATAAGAAGAGAACTTTGGGGAAGTTAAGAGAGGAAAGGGAAAAAAAACCTCCATGGTGTTTATCATTCTTTACACAAGGCTCAGCTGGAACACATATATAATGTTCTTTTTTTAGAATAAAAAAGGAAGGGCTGGCCATGGCAGGCTTGCCAAATCATATGATGGCTCACTTGCTTTCATCATGGATAAGTATTGCACAAGTAAACATGTTTTTTGTGTACTCAATGTGGTCCGTGATTGCCTCCACAAAGTAGTGTTTGATAAACTAAAATAGGTTTAAACTAAAGCAAGGATGACAAAAGTTTTGAAAAGTTTCTTTTTTTACTATTAAAGTTTAAAAAGTTGTGTTATGGTCACTAATATTATAGATGTAAATAGCTGTAACAAAAGTAATATATTTTAACTGGTGTCATTAATATATTATTAGAAAATAAATGTAATTAATTTTAACCGCAATTTAATCTAAATATTATTTTTGTCAACAATACAATAAGTATCCATAATAACTGTAATCATGGAATTTTGGACTCCAGAACATGTTTTCTACATTCCACCTTCCATTGCCATAAATATGTATATATATATAATATATAGAGAGAGACGTATATGCTAGGTAGACGGTGAACTACAACAAGGAGAAAAGGGGTATCTTAAGATTAAGAGGGCCTTAAAGCAATAAATCAAAAACTAATTCATCAACTAAGCAAGTTAATATAGTTTTCTCAACCTCTAAACCCTCTTCAAACGCTTCCATATCAAAATCAAGCCACCTCTCATGCTTTGTGTTCATGTTCTTGCCTACAAGGTCGTCCACCACCAATATGTTCCCCATGTTTCTCCAATCCTATATCTCTTTGTATAACTCTTCTGCTAACCATCCTTTGTTTTGGATCAATTATCCCCACTTAGCCCATCCTTTGCAGCTTCCGACAAAAACTTGGTCGTACCGTGACTCCAGGGATTCACTCACGCAATCGAGTAAAAGTTTTAGTTCGAGCTTGCTGTGATCTACACTGTGTCCTTCGGTTCCATTCCAATGCTCGAGCTCACCGAAAGCATTCAGGGTCACGATATTATCGGTCTGACCCAATGTATATTCTATGAACTTTAGCTCAGAGTCTTTTAGCACCATTTTCACATAATCAAGATCGGAATTGGCTGACTCTTTCAAATCTGTTGATTTTGATGTCGTAGTTGGAAGCTTTCCATCCGTTTCTCCCACGATCTGGGAAGACTCGATTACAGGCGACGAGCTTAACACTTCTTCATCAGGAGCCAAATGCATTGTGCCTGCAGATGTAGATTGCATGTAGTCAATGCAGCAACTCGATTACCGAGTTTACATATTAATCATATTGTTTCTAGCTGAATATAAAATATAATGAAATTGGTCAAGTGGAAGAAACTTGAATCTCAAGAAATAAGAGTACAGCTTACCGCTGGTACCACTATCTCTGCTATCAGCAGAACACTCGCTCATGGCAGCAAGTTTGAGAGTTGAAAGTGGGCTAGGATGTTGCAAATCTAATTCTTCGGCAGTCTCGCTGCTGCTTTCACTAGCATTTCGATCTTCAATTTCTTCTGAAAGCTGGCAACATTAGATAAACTTAACAAACACATGCCATTATATAAGTAAATGGTAGCAGTGACTGAGTAAACCAAAACTCCCACTTCCTTCTCCGATCAAGCCCCGGATTGTTGATTGAAGAACGGTTTAAGTCAGTGGGAGCTATGTGATGTCTTTTAGATCCACCTGTAGTCTTTCATGATGTCCTGTTGATGTAGTAGTGGTCAATGTACCCAGTGGGAGCTCTGAAGTTTTCTGACTTGATGCAGGACTACTTGAGGTCTCCTCTAAAATGATATTGCAATTAGATGACTCAACTCTATATGTCAATTCCTCAAGCTTTTTCCCAACAATAACACTCAGATCATCACCGCCGATTATAGAGTCCGAAACAGAAAATCCTGAGCTTTTCGAGACCAGTGGATCATTATCACCAGAAGGATCACTACCAAGTTGCAGCTGGTTTCTGCAACATGACTTGAGGAAGGTACATTGGGCATGGATATTTTGATGGGGGATGTAAATGTAAAAGAAACAACATCCATGCTTGTCTTCATTTTCTCTGCATCTTGATTCGAGTTCCCATCAGTTGTAGTAGCATTACATTTGATGGACCTTTCACCGCCATTCATCGATGAAATTTTGGAAACTGGTTTTCCGGACAGAAGATCCTCATTTACAAGCTGTTTCTTTCTAGACGAATTCTTTTGTCTAGACATGAGAAGTTCCTTTGAAGGACCAGATGCGGAGGATCTCATGTTCCTGGATTGAGATTCGGAGTTGACTGTCACCTTGCTTATAGTCCTACTCAACCTGACCCTACCATTTACGGACCTAGCCTTTCTACCTTGCTGGTCCAGAGTCGAAGTCTTTGATGTCCATTTGTCTCTATTAGATAAGCAGTTCTGCTTCTGATTATTCTGCCTCAGGACATTGTTAGTCGTATTCGCAGTTCCGTTCTCCACATTATTTCGTGCATCTGCTGATCCCCTAGAAGAATGTTTTGGATTTGCAGGACTCTCGTTATCACTTGAAAACGACTCCTCTTTCCTCCTAACATTAACCCTTGATTGTTCTGCAAGTGAGACTGGTTTCCCCTTATTCCTCAAACTGTTAGAACTACCTTTTTCTGAATCCGATTTAATGTGACTCTTGCCCTTATGTTGTTCTTTCGAAGACTTTGCTACGCTCTGACTAGGCTGGTCAGGTCTTTGAGGTCTGGATACCTTATGTGCAGCTTCAATTTTCCCTTTCAAATCCCGGATTTTCAAAGGAACTGAAGAAGACCCGAACGGCAGCAGTTTACAATCGGATGTTTTCCGAGGACCAACCTCGATAATCTTTGCAGCTGCCTCCAAAATATAAGCTGCGTTCTTGGTTGGGATGAACCCCGGACTCTTGACAGGAGACAAGAGCTCATGGTGAGTTATTGGAATTGGTTTTGCCGATTTCAGAGGCAATATTTCAGTCTGAAATCTCTCAATCAGTCCTCAGTTCTGCACCTTACAAAACCTCGGTTCAATCGGACTTGAAGATGACCTATCAAGCTTGTTTGAGGTGCCAGTGTGGCCCATAGGTTGACAGCTCCGAGACGCCGAATATGTAGTAGAAGATAGCTCCGAGACGTTCGGTGTAGGCAACGAGTGCAACCCCATGAGCCTAGCAACAAGTCCAGGTGCTCTAGATCCACATCCTTCATCACTAGTCACCGAAGAAGCAGAACTAAAATCAGGACAGCATGTAGTACCTGAAGCGCCATTGTAGGCATCCCCATCCATCTGGTAAAGATTACAGAAGTAAACAGTAGAGTCTGAAACTCAAAATCCAAATCCATCACTAATTACCGTATAAGGCTGCGATTTCAGTCGATTCTCCACTGGTTTTCCTCTCTCTGATTCTCCTACAGTTCGAAACATAAACAAGTTTGTGCATGAACCAGGAATATATTAGAGACAGTCTCGAATATACACGTACACGTACACGTACACGTGAGGTTTCAGCATTGTTTGGGAACAATTTCTTTCGAGATTTGCCATTCCAATCAAACAAATGAAGAAGTCCTCCCCTCAAATGTTTCTTTCCGACCTCCATTATCGCATCATCAAACATGAATTTTTACTTTCATTTGCTCAATGCACCATCTTTCAAGCAAGAAATTGAAGAAAGTAGAGTTTTTTTTTTCTGGCAAAAAGTACATGAATCAGGTAATCAGATCTCAATGATCCAACATGTAAGAAAAACCATCACCTTGAATTCTTCAAAAGCTGCCAAAATTCATGATCCAAGCACCAAGATCCTTCTTTTGACACATGAGAACAGGTAAATCAAACTGGGTGTTCATCAAATTGAACAAAGAAGTTCAATCTTACTACAACTCAAAAATCCGAGCACCATTTTTGGTTTCTTCCATGTATGGCAAGGATCTCTTTTTCCTTTTATTGCAACTAAAATAATAGTAATAAAAGAATGGATTTGGTTTCTAAGTAAGAAATGGACAGAAAAGAAAGATCCTAGCCTGGAGAAAAAGATATTTTAGTGACAATAGCAGAGATACATAGAGACAGATTATGTTGACATTTGATAAGATACAGAAATCCGATTATAAAAGAAACAGTTAAAAAAGAGTAAGGAATGCCTGTCTGGTCTGAGTTTGAGCAATAAATATTGCAGAAACGATATTATAATACAAAACCTAACTCAAATTGTGAATCAAATCAATTAATTACCCTTGTCTTGTTATTTTCTTCGGTAACTCTTTCACCGATGGGCCATGCCACATGGAGCAGCTTTACCATGAGTTTCCACTTTTCCTCGCTGCTTGCAAGACGTGGCACACGACCAACAAACAGTTTTAAGTTTTTGTTTTCCTCACTGCATGTGAAATGTACGTATATCATTTTGAAAAGAGAAAATAACCTAAGTGACCAAAAATTCCATATAATATACGATTTTAATCAATTTTTTCCGGATTTGCCAAAATGACCAACAAAATCGCAATGCGATCGATAATTCGCAACGCGATCTCCATTATCGCAAATTCGCGTTGCATTTTCGTAATGCGATAGTTGAAAATCGCGTTGCGATGGTCTACAGTATCGTTGCGATTTTCCCAATTCGCAATGCGAATAAGTAAATCGCAACGCGAATTGGGAAAATCGCAATGCGAATAAGTAAATCGCAACGCGAATTGGGAAAATCGCAACGCGATACTTACTATCGCAATGCGATAATAAAAAATCGCAACGAGATACTTACTTTCGCAACGCGATACTGACTTTCGCAACGCGATTTACATAGCGCCATTCGTATTAACGCGTATTTTTTTTCAAATTCCAAACACGTATTTTTTCTTAATAAATCGGAAAATGAACCGTCCACAGTAATCGCAACTCATAACCTCAAACCCAAAAACACAACACTCAGTGCCATCTCCATCTCTCACTCTCTACGGCGAAATCCGTCCCCATCTCCGAAGATTTCCGTCCCCATCGCCGGCGAAATCCCTCACAACCATTCACAGTCAAAAATCCCTCACAATCATTCAGAAATGGAAAATCAACCTCCGAGGGTTAGTTTTTTTTATTTTTATTTTGAAATTTTTGCATTATTTTAGGTTTTTCATATTGAGATTGATGATAAGTTTACTGGTAATTTCAATAATAGATTAACCATTTCACTTAGATTTCTTATTAAATTCATTTGATTGCTGCCAATACTGCTAAACTGTTTAGCCTGTGAAGTTAGTATTTGTCTTTGCTTTGTCTTTTGGTTGAAGTAATGCAGAAGAAGAATAGTTTCGAGAATGAAAATCGCAACGCGGAAATAACTATCGCAACGAGATAATCGCAACGCGAAATAAAAATCGCAACGCGAAACCAAAATCGCATTGCGATTTTCATTTCGCGTTGCGATTTTTATTTCGCGGTTGCGATTTTCATTTCGCGTTGCGATTGTCTGGTCGCGATAGTCATTTCGCGTTGCGATTCTCTCGTTGCGATAGTCATTTCCGCGTTGCGATTCTCATTATCTCGTTGCGATTTTCATTTCAACCAAAAGACAAAACAGTGTTGCAAATTTTAGTTTCAAGAATAAACTACTATTTATGTTTATTGTTTTGTTTTTGGTATATCTTGACAGTGTAATTTTTGGTATATCTAACTTGGCATGTTTATTGTTTTTTTGTAGAAATTTTTTTCGGCTTCATTGACATTAAGGAATAAAGTTATCCTAGCCACTACAATTGCTTCGAAGCTTTCACCTGCACAAAGAAAATTGTTTGAAGAAACCTGCTTCGGGCCATGGCTGAGAGTACAGCATCCGGGTAGAGATGCTAGTTTGACCCATTTGTGGCTTCAGACCATGACTAGCGATCTACCCGACAGTATACAACGTGGTGAGGAAGAGATATGGTTTCATTTTCCACCGGCGTATACTTGTTTTGGGCGGAAGGAGTTCTGCTTAATCACTGGTCTACGATTCGGACACGATGATGTAGGCCGGTACACTCGTCATATCACCCGCCCATCATGGTTATCCAGGGTTTTTCCTGATGAGTCAATAGAGAAGCCGAACTTACACGTCGACGACATGAAGAAATTGTTTAATAAGAAAGATGGTTTTACTCGGATGAATAACGTCGATGTTGTCCGAGTATGCCTTCTACTACTTTTGTATGCCGGCTTTCTAGGCAGAGAGGCCAGACAACCTATTCCTCAGGAGCTAATATTATTGGTAGAGGACCTAAATGCATGGAATCTGTTTCCGTGGGGTTCGTATATATGGAAAGCTACCTGGACTAAGTTGTCGTCTGCCTTTGATGACCGCAAAAGTTTGCGGGGCGATGGGTCGAAATACACTTTGTCAGGCTTTGTTTGGGCCTTTAAGGTAAGAATTTCTATATAATGTTTTCAAATTATAATTAATTATTTAACAATTACTAATGTTTGTTATTATATTGTTTGTAGATTTGGATATTCGAGGCTTTCCCCAGCATGCGGACATATGCATTAAAATCCTCAGATGATATTCCTAGGGCTATTTCCTAGAAGAGGAAACGTATGTTGGATTGGGAAGACTTAATACCATATGCGACAATAAATAATGTAAGTTAACACAAATACTATCATATATAAACAAGTTATTAATAGTAGACGTTTAACTTTGTTTTAGTTTTTATATTTTAGGAGGCCAACACTCCATTAATGAGACTGACACCCACGGAGGCTGAGCTTGCCACTGATTGGTGGCAAGCTAGTCAGCGTTTTTTTGATGGCACGAATGATGAGCAACCTCCACTTCTTCCACTTCGAGAGCCATCACCTCACCCAGAGCCATCACCTGATCGACCCGACTATACACCTCTACAACGAGAGCCATCACCTATCCCGTCACATCATCGAGTCTCTTCTCCACCATCACCTCATGATAGGCGACCGAAAAAGATGCCACGACTTCTATCTCCCTGTTCTCCACCTCCACGGGATGAGTCAAGGGAGTTACGTGATGAGGTCAATGCCTTGCGTGAGGAGATCGGTACTCTACGCGATAACGATGGTGCATGGCGTGTGGAGGTGTCTACTTTACGTGGTGAGGTTGCCGCTCTATGTGAGATGGTAGTATCATTGCAGAATGAGGTTCATACTCTACGCAACGAGGTAAGTTTAAGATTTTCCATATTTAACTTGATGATAAATTTACTCGTAATTTCACTTAAATTAACCATTTCACTTAGATTGATTAGTAAATTTATTCGGTTGCTGCCAAAACTGCTAAACTTTTTACTTTAACACTGTGAAGTTAGTATTTGTCTTTGTTTTGTCTTTTGGTTGAAAGTTTGAAATATATTTATCTTTGTTTTCAATGTTTAAATATCATGTCTATTTATTTACTGATATTTGTATTTTTATTTAGCGGACCGATAAGGTGGATGCTTTACGTCGGGTTTTTCTTGTACGAAAGAGTTCACGCATCAGACGGCGTGCACGTGCTATTAAGTCTCCGTATACCCCAATAGTGCGAAGACACCGCAAGAAGAAGCCCGACTCGCCTATCATCCCTCAAGAGTCCACTCCTATCGTTGAAGAGGCCCCTATCATTCCTCGAGAGTCCCCTCCCACCGTTCAAGAGGCCACTGTCATCATTGAAGAGGTCCCTCCCACCATTCAAGAGCCCGATTCACATGGCGTCATATGTAGGATTCTTGAGAAACCCTCTGACGTGCCGGACATGATGGATTCAAGTTGGCTCTCGTATGAGTTACCGGCCAGTACCATACCGGTATCTGAAGAGGAGAGGAAACAACTACCGGACACAATTCTAGATAACACCCTTTGGGCTAAGACCGCAATTGATTTTTATCTACATGAGCGAAGCCAGGGGTGTTTCACTGACATATGCAAGCTCAATGATGATATCAATTTGTTGCTTGATCGGTCTTGGTGGGGCGTATTATTAGGGGTCGAAGACAATGGCTATTTCGATGGAGGGGTAAGTCTTAAATGTATCTTATATTTTCATTTGATTAATTTGTTTAAAAATTAATGTAATTCACTAATATATGTATTTTTTTGTAAAACAGCATATCGATGCGTGGGTGTCACGTCTACTAATAATTAGGAAACTTAAGGAAAATAAAAAAACACGGTATACAATAATGCCGACGGCTTTTAACGCAGTTCACTTGAAGAATCAACGAGATGAATCATTTGCGTTGGGCAATGGACAAGCTAAACTTTATCCTGCATGGTGGGAGGTCGATAAGGTTAGTGTTTATTTTAGATTGAGTTTAAAGGTATTCATAAATAAGTGCGCAAATGAATGAATTATTACTTATGATTGCAGGTGTTTATCCCTGTTTTGGAACGTAACAATTGGCTTCTCGTCGAGCTTCAGATCCCATCCCTTAAGGCAATAGTATATGACAGCATGATAAATTACATATCATTGGCTGATTTAAGAGATATTATTAAGGGATGGAGCTCTTATTTGGCTAAATACTTGGATGCGATAAATTATTGGACTCGTTCTGGAAACAAGAAGCCAAAGAAGCTCAATATTACAGTTAGCAGAGACGAGACCGCACCACAACAAAC